CAGAAAAGCGTGAAACTTCTTGGACTTAAAAGGTCAGGGAGAATTAAATCAGAGCTAATTCCTTTTTGTCAGAGGTTCTGGTCCACTCAGGATCATCTCAGTGTGAGGATAATGTTCTGCCCTGAAGTAGAGATGGCTGTCTCTTAGGGGTTTTGGATTCTTATCAGCTGAATATAGGTTTTCCCATTCAGGACCTTATGTTTCTTCTGCTTCAATTTTCTTCTACCAGGGCATTCTGCTGCAACTCTCAAGTGGTTCTGGTAGGGGAAGGGATTTCAATATAAAATAATTACTATACATAACAGAATAAACTTATAACTGACAGAGACGGTTCTTATATCATAATCAGCAAAATGTTATAAAGTTTTTGCATGTAAGAGACAGACTCATTTACCTGATTCATAAAATGTCCCATAACTGAAATTAGCTGATAATGAAGGCTTTCTAAGCCTGTCACAATCAACATACATCATAAATGATATATGTCTGTACTTCTGGATGTCTGAACTAGAAACATGATTAAAAGAAAGGAAGAGATCATTCCCAAGAAAGGAAGAGATCATTCTCACACTGAGAGAAATAATATGGTTCCTGCAACCTTAAGGAAAGAGAATAAAATGCTTATCTAATGTACTGTCAGCCATCTGAGACATAAGCATTATTATAATATTCAGAAACCTGAGTTTCTGAAACCTGATCAGACTACTCGGTGTATTTCTATAATTAGCTCTACTTTATCTTTCATAAATAATTAGTAAAGTCCATATTGAAATGTTAGCCAATCTCAGCAGTATTAAGAGAAGTCAGGGAAAGCAAGTTTTTCGAAAAAACTTATATTTAAGTCAACTTTAGAAGAGTTATCATTTAATTTGTGAAGGAGAATTATTTCACCTAAAACCGACAACATACCTAAGGATTAAGACTGAAATTATATGTGCCTCTTTTTTAACCTAGTGATTTTCCTTCCAGAGCTCTCTTCTACTCAAAACCTATAGCATTTTATTTTAACAAGGGAATCCAGGTTATCAGCAAAGATTCAACGTCTTTCAAGGAAGTTATGAAAACAGTGTCCTAAATAACTTCTCACATCATTCTTTGCCCGGAAACTCAAATGGCAAAAATGAAAAAGTTAGACTTTTCTCATTGTAGTGCGGAAAAAAAAGTGGGAATGCCTGTTCTACATATTTAAGAATAAGATAAATACAGCTGACCCTTGACAATGCAGGCGTCAGGGGTGCTAAACCCCTGCGTACTCAAAACTCAAAACTCCACATAGAACTTTTGACTCCCTCAAAACTTTATTATAGACGACTGTTGACCAAAGACTTAATGATAACACAAACAGTCAATTAACACATATTTGCATGTTATATGTATTATAAATTGTATTCTTACAAAAAGCTAAAGAAAATGATTTTAAGAAAATCATAAGGAAAAGAAAATATATTTAGAGTACTGCACTTATTGAAAAAAATCCACTTATAAGTGGACCTGCACAGTTCAAACCCATGTTGCTCAAGGGCGAACTGTATTGTTTAAGAATAGTAGAAATGAGAGGATAAGAAATAACCAAAGGTATTCCAACACAGGGAAAAAAATACTCTGATGAGATTAAAACCATAAAAATTGTTAAAAATAAATTCTAATTTTTTAAAAAGGAGCTGCCATAATCTATAAATTAGATTAAATCAGTAAAAACAAAAACTGTGATCCAGAACAACAAAAAAAATCAACCTAATATTTTAGTAATTCCAGATATTATGCTGATTATAAACTGGATAAGAAATATAGTTAAAAGCCTAAACAATCTAAGTAAATTCCCAGATCTGTCATGAACTCATCTGACGACAATCTAAGCAATCTCTTCCAAACATTACTACTGCATAACAAGAAGAATAACTGAAAATAGTAAAATGATTTTGAATGGGTGAGACCCAACATATAATATGATCAAATTTTCAAGCACCCAGTATTCCAAAGTATGGTTTTCCATAAACCCTAATTTTTCTGAGATAGTCCACACAGACACAGACACAGACACAGACACAGACACACACACGCGCGCGCGCACACACACACACACACACACACACAGGTGTAAGCGGGGGAGGAGCCCTCTTAGTTAAGTTAGATAACTGTTGCATACTTTGGTATTTACATTGCATATTCCTCAAAATCAAAGTCTCTGAGAAGTCCTGCAATAAATAACCTATCTAACATTGATGATTCAAGCACTGCCTATATTTATTCGACTCTGGAATATTTATTATTTTATGAAACACTTGCGACACACTTTAGTAAACATTAGGAGAGTACTGTCTCCTTTTTTATTATGTTTCATCTTAGGCAGTTTTAGTTGAAGGTCTGAAAGTGTAAGAAATTAAAATTAGTGCATAAAATAACAATGGTATTATTGATAAACTACTTAGGCAAACCATCTGTTTATTTCATTATTGTAAAGATAACACTGGTTCAAAACACAGAACAGAATGAAAACACAGCCAAGTTAAAAAGAAACTAGCCAGGCTCCATCTCTCGAAATTTCTGCTAACACTCTTGAAAGTTCCACAATGATGATGATAATCCCCTGGCATAGAGCAAACTAAACTTTCATGTTTTCAGCTTTCTCCTTTTTGCTGCTTCTGTGTGGAATGCTCTTCATCCAGATATCTATCTGCATATTTAGGTGTGAGCTCAAATGTCACCATGCCATCTCATGGAAACTTAGCCTCTCCACCCTGAACTTCATCACACATTACACTGTTTTAATTTCTTCATTGCACTTATTTGATTACCAGCACAACCCAGTACCTACAATGGTGCTGGACATCTGGTAGATGCTCAATAACTACTTACTAAATGAATAAACACTATTTTTGCAAAGCCAGTTTCCATCTGTTTTATATATACCCAATCAGGGTTAAATAAATGTATTGGGAACAGGGATCAATACTAATATGCTTCTTTACTATTATTTCAGTTTGAAAAAGAAACATGGCACTTTTCAATTTAATAATTTAAAAACAGCAACTTGCTTTTTTGTGTGTGCAATATTAGTTATTTGTTCCATCATGTCAAACGTTCTTACCCTTAACTGAAGGAAAGCATATAATTTCAAGTTGTTTGGAGTAAAGACTAAAAATGCTGAAAACATCTTTTTAATATTAGTAATACAGAGATAGTCATATCTCTAGAAAATATCACAACCTGTTCAAAGTTTTGAAAAAACCTCAACCTTTGGAATGAGTATGAGTTACTTCACTTAAAATTCAGCAGACTGAACACGAAAACTAGTCTGAAGTAATATTCTACTTTTTGAGAAGTTAAATACAAGAAAAAGGGAAAGAATTGAAGTAAATTCTAAATATTAAACAGCACAGGAAAAAAGTGACTACTACACCCATTATTTCTTTATTCACTGATCCAGCTGTATAAATGTATGTAAGAAGCAATTTTTGTGTACTGTTCACGGAGTTGAAGCTACTGTAACAGGTAAACTAATGAATGGAGATGGGAGTTGGAGACTATTTCTTCAAAATTTTACAAACTTAACGGCTACCTTTTATGGAGTGCTCAATGGATGCCAAGTATTGAAATTATTTGCAATAGAAGACAGAACTTGAACTCAAATCCTGAGTTCTAACTTTAGATCCAGAGCATTTAAATGCTGGATTAGAATGGGATTGATTTTGAGACTGAAATGCCCACAATGCAGCTTTAGCCTCTCCATAGATGTACAAATACTGTTAAAGACATAGTTGCCAATTTCTGATTTAAGACATAAGTTTATTTCTCAACAGGGGTTCAAAATTTTAACCACATCTGCAAGTTCTCCTCAAAGCAGCCCAAAATAATTTGAGACATACTTTTTAGACACACAAAATAATTTTAGCTCTGATTAATAGCAGACTGGGTTTTTTTTTTTTTTTGAATAAGAACTGCTCTGGTATTCGATTATCACCTGCCTCTACATTTTCCCCACATCATAAAATTTCCAAAATGGTCTCTAAATAAGGAACACAATCCCCTCCATTCCTGGCAGACATACCCTATTTTCCAAGTAACATCAGCAACAAAACCAAAAATTGCTAGACAAAATAGTCACATAAAGCTTTCCATATTATATTATATATATTATATGTATATAGGAGGGGAGGGGAGAGAGGGAACATAAACATATAAATTAAGTGGCACCCCTTAGTTATTAAGTACACTTCTATCAGGACTGGGCCAATATCAGACACAATAAATGAAATATGCTTGAAAGTATATTTGTTCCAGTTTTAAGAAGGATGCTATACAGTTAAACTTAGCATCAGGGAACAGTCAATAACTAGAACAAATAATGATGTGAATGAGCAACTGGCCCCACATGATAGGGTCAGTTTCGATAACCCAATCTGCAAAGCCAAAATAAAGTCTCTTTTAAAAAGTGCTTTAAAAGAAAAAGCAAACATTAGCTTCCCTTTATAATTCAGATAAACAGAAGACTACATTCAATTAACATATCTGGTTTGCTAAAACTCTTTAAAGAGAAACGACCTAATGATCCCATTTAATTATTCACCGGGATGCAATCTTAGAATGCTTTTCTTTCCATTCTTCAAACTACATTTATAATTTGAGTCTCTACCAGTATCTAAATTTTGTCTATACTTTACTTTGTACACTGTGTATCATCCCTTTCTCCTTGTTACTTCAAAAAAACAAAAAACAAAAAACAAAAAAAACAGCAGCTTAAAAACTTCAATAAACTGACATCGAATAATCTGCTTTCCCATTAGATTTCTAAATAATGCCAAAAAATTCTGCTTGCCTAAACCTTTTGTTATCTAAACAGGTTTTATCTAAACAAGTTATATCTTTTCCAATAATTCTTTACTAAATAAAAGTCACTTTTAAATGGGACAATATGAATAATCAGACTGAAGCTCATTCTATTTTCTATCGGATTATAATCAGTGTAATGTAAATGAGAGGTAAGAATAACCAAGTCTTACCTTTGTCAGTTGTTACTTTTTCTACACATCTGAAAGAAATGAGAATCAAATATTAAATGAACAATTTTACACACTGTAAGACGCAATTATTTATCTCTCAGGTTCATCTAAAGAGTGACAAAGAAAGCATCTAGTGCAGTGTTGCCCAATACAACTTTCTGCAGTGATGAAAGTATTCTGTATCTGAAGTGTCCAATATGATAGTTGCAACGTGGCTACCTAGTACTTGAAATAGCTAGTGTAATTGAGGAACTAAATTTTAAATTTTGATTAATTTGTAAGTTTAAGTAGCCACATGTAGCTATCATATCTAAGCATACAGCTAGAGTATCATTCCACAGTTGTTTCTACGTAAAAAAAAATTAACACCAAAAAAATACTGATTTTGTTATATTAAGTGGTTATATAATAAAATGTCCTTATTTTACACAAATGCAGTAACTAGGGGTGGAATAAAATAATGTTTGAAATTTTCTCTAAAATACTTCTGGCCAAAAGAAAAAGAAGGGGAAAAGGGACAGAGGTAGCAAGTATGGCAAAAATCTCAATAATTGTTAAATCTACCTGATAAACACTGGGGGTTTCATTATACTATTGTATCTATTTTATATCTGAAAATTTTCATAATAAAAATTTAATGAACCTAAAAGAAAACCATAACGATATTTGTTAAACTCAAATCAAAATCTATTTCTAAAAAGGCAACAAGATTAGATCTCAGAAATAAATACAACTTGCACTTTACAAATTAGATAGCAACAGTAAGGAGTTTAATTTGTTATAAACTACTAATTTAAAAAAATGTTACTCCCATGTTAATTTGGGAAAATTCCTATCATACATAATCGTTGAGTACAGTATAATGAACCAGCCCCCCTCCCCTTACACCCATTACCCAAATTCAAACATCAACATGCCTTGGATCTTTACCATAAAGATGTCATACAGTATCTCTCAGCAGTACAAAGTTTTCTTTTTTTGAAAGTAAACCTAATACAAATGAAGACTCTTATGTTACAAAAGAATATCCAAGTGAACACAGAAGCCATAACATAATGCAAATTCTGTTCTCTTTAAAAAGAATAGCTTTTATTTTCTCATTCTATATTTTTAAAAATAGCTTGGCATTATAACTTTATTTTAAATTATATTACCAATGTCCCAATAACGATTAGCAAAAGATAACTGTTAATCATCCTAATTCTAAATAAGAAGTACAAAAATAATTGCTAAAATTTGAAAAATAAACTTTCTGAAAACCTTGGGAATGGTTCGATGTTTCTATTATACTGATCACAAAAGAAGGTAAACTTGGGATCTTAGTTTTGTACAACTGAAGCCTTCTCCAAAGAGCCATAAGTTTTTTCAGTTCAAAATATTATTGCCTCTTCATTCTTACTATCCACGATCCTCATCTTTTCCTTACAAAAGTAAATACCAAGAAAAGTGTCACCCAAAGGTTTACTACCATTTAGCAAGAAAATAAACCAAAATGAAATTACATATACCAGAAAATAGAACAATATTTTCTTTATTTGTAACCTATCTGAACCTAAAGGAGTACATTTAAGAATACTCAGTTTTAGTTGGTAGGATTAACCAACAGCTAAAATAGAAGTTTAAAAAGTATTTATTGGCTGTTTTAAATTCTGATAAACGAGACTTACTGTCATATGGTAGAATGAAAAGCTTTTTTGCATTTTAACCTAATTTAACAATTAGACTGTTTCTATATTAGTAAACAATATGGAAACAATGGATGTTTTATTTCATGAGTAAAAAAAAAATTTATGGAATTTTTAAAAAAATGTAAACATCTGTATTTGAAATATAAGAACTTATTATTAGCCTTTAAGTTTTTATTTATAATGATTCTATCGTTTAACTTTATGCCTTTCTCTTGAGTACATTCAATAAAAAAAATTTTATTTCCCTTCAGATTTCCTACTCTTCTCATTAACATCTGAACATTCCAATGCAAATGTAAGCTGTTATAAGCTTAAGAAAGTTTAGAAAAACTGTAACCTGATTATCATTCAACTATAAAGCTCATTTCACAAATCATTAATTATCAGTTATAGATGAAGCAGATTTAAAGAGGTTAAGTGACTTGCCAAAAGTCACTTAGTATTAGAAAGCTGGGACCTGAAACTTTCTGCGTAAAGTCCAATGGTTTTTCTACTGTTATTATTTTGCCTTCTAATAGGAAAAGAAGTTTCAATCAAACCAAACCTCTATTTTATATACCTTTAAACTACTGTACACTTTGCTGTCTCTTCATTAAGAGAAACAACTGTAGGTTAAACAGCTGATTACTGGGAATTTTTAGGGGTCAATGTTGGGATATGGAAAAATAACCTGAATAGAACAAGTTATTAATAGAGATTAAACCTCTTACTTCCCTTTTTTAAATTGTCATGATGTTATCTGGAAAACAGACTTGAATCAAGGTCAGAAGACATTTGACCAGGGTTCAGTAAACTGATCACAAAACCTCTTGAAATGTCTTAAAAGATTAAACTTCCTACTTAGTTTTAAACTTTATTTTTACCACTCTGAAAATCTGTCAACCAGGTCTGATAAAACCTCCAATGATCAATACACTTTCCCCTTATAGTGCAAGGTCCTTGAAAATGAGATCCATGTCTCATTTATCTTTATGAACCTTAGCTCAGCACAGTACCAGGCCCAATTACTGCTAAATCAAGGTTTACCAAGCTGAAATGCTTTAGGATTCCTTTGATTTCCACAGCAGTAAATCGAAAATGTGTAACAAAAAATTATGATGAGAACTTATTTCAAAAATCCAATCAGAATTCCATAATTTAGTACACATAATCAAGAGATAGTTCTGAGGCTAAAAGGAAGTAAAAGAACACTAATATCTTTTATGATACTGGATGAGGGAGGGACACTAAGACTATTCCTTCCCACAGAATACTGTGGAGAAAAAAGTGAAGGGATTTAATTAAGTCATCTTTATCCAAGTTTGACTGTTAAAACATTTATATTGTGGAAACAAAAAGTCATTTAGTACTTTTTGGCCAAGAGTTAGGGAAAAAATAAACCATGACAGTAGGTAAAAGTACTACTCTAGCTATAATTATCTTAAGAGATCATTTCTATAAGTAAAACTGTTGAAATGGCAGTAGGGAAATGTGTCAAGGTAAATTTAACTTTCGAATGGGTAGGTGAGAATGGAAAGGAATTTAAAAAATATATTAACATTCCTATGTATAACAAGAAAAACGAGAAAAAAAATCAAATTTTGCAGAATTTATATGAAAACACACCAATATTGCCACTTAAATCTCTATCATGCCACCACCACTCAAAACAATAGCTTTAAATAAACATTCACTCTGTACCGGACTTTGTGTGTTAAGTGTTTCACATGCTGAATCTAATTCTCAAACTAATTACATAGGGATTAACATTACGTCCTATAGATAAGGAAACTGAGGTACCAGCTGTTTAATAAGAAATTTGTCCAAGGAATTTATATTCGAATAAAGCTAATGAGAATTTAACTCTTAATTTTGGAACAAACATGTTTCAAAATTTAAATATACCAGATCTGGTGTAAGCCAAGTTTTGCCACACTATTGGGGAGGGGCAAGTACTTAAAACTCTGACCCTGCTTTCACTAATTTTTTTCATTTGAAAGATAAAAGATATTTTCAGTAACGATATTTTCAGTAATGAATTCAATGGTGAATGTGATTAATTTCTAGAATTTACAAATATACGAGCTTCAGCGTTTTCAACATAAGAACATTATTTTAATAAACAGTTTAGTTATGTTCCTGGTTCCTCTATTATCTCTAGGAAATACAGGAATTCTTTTCAGGTAAGTCTAATTTTTAAGGATGAAGTTCTTTCATTAAGACGTATGCCAAAACAAACAAAAAAACATACGCGACTTGGCAAAAACAAAAAAATGAGCGAATATCCTTAATCTAAGCTTGTTATATAAAAGACTACACTTAACAAAATTGGCAGGGCCAAGTTTTTACCCCACTGGTAAGCACTAAATTTCTAAAACGAATGATGTGAAAATTCAGTGGAGTGGGAAAAGCTACATAAAGATACTGGTACAACTGGCTCTTGAACTAATTGAGGGGGGAGGGGGGACACACTTTTGAAGGCTAAGATCGCGCTGTTGATTTCTTAATAGGGATGTGATGTAATACCGGAGTGCCGCCGTAAGAGGGAAAGGGATAGGCTGACAAAGGGAGTGCAGATGCCAGAGTGCGAGATAAGCCTGCGGCTGCAGGGAAGGGGTGACTCACTAGGGAGCAGAAGAGACCTATCCTACAAAGAACGATTTCACGGAGTGGGGAAGTGGCTCGACAGAGGACACTGGGATAGGGCCAGGAAGGAGTGATAAGAGAGCTACCAGGAAAGCGGTGTGACATCTGGCGTGCGAGCCGGCAGGGGGCAGAGCAGGAAGGATGTCACGTGGAGTGGGCGCTACGGGAGCCGAGAGGGTTGCGTGCGGAGCGAAGGGGGTCTTTCCCACCGCCTGGAAGACTGCGTTACTCACAGGAGTCGCGGACTCTTCTTGCCCTGAGCTGGAGACGGGGGCTTCGCGGCCTGGGACTGCTGCCCTGGGGCGTCCGGAGGCCTGGCGCTGGGACTGCTCCTCCGCCGGCGGGGATATTCGGCCTTCCTCCGGCGGGACACAGCGGCAGCAGCGGCAGCGGCCGCCGCCGCCGCAGCGGCCCGGCCCCGGTCCCGACCTCCCCTCAACA